AGTCCTTCGGGAGATGCTAGCGGGGTACAAATAAAGTTAATAATAATAATAATTATTATTATTATTATTATTGCATTTTTTCTTGTCTCTTATTTCTGTAATTACTATAGATTCTTTTCCTACTTTTCTATCTTCTTCAATTTATTCTCCCTCTTTCCATGTAAATACAATATACGCTTAATAAAAATTTATTCCAAAAAAAAAACAAAACCCAACATATCTGATAACCCTTACGTGATTTGTCAAAAACTGCCTTCCTGGAAAAATAATCTTCCAAAAACTGACATGACTTTCCCAGTGTATACTCCTAGTATGACCTGTTGGACTTCACATATGGATTCTGTATTCCCGATGTCTTCGAATCACAGGTTTCTGACTTCTCCAAGCACCAATAGGACAGAATCCAGGAGAGTAGATGGAAATGAGAACATGACTTTCATGACTTTCCCAGTGTATACTCCTCATATTTATTTATGTATTTATTTATTTGGGGTTCTTCTTCTACCCCGCCCTTCTCACCCCGAAGGGGACTCAGGGCGGCTTACAAAGGCAAAGGCACAATTCGATGCCTGCATCATCAAACAATCATACACAAAATTACATCAATTCACAGTTAACAACAATTCATGCATTATAACCATAAAATCAATAAAATCAATAAAACCAATACAAACCCAATTTCTCCTCTTACATTGTCAGCGTTCGCTAACTCATAGATCGGGTTTTACGTTCCACTTCATCAATCCTGCTGGTCTTACTCGCCTGATTGTCTAACTTAATTGCCAGAGTGCCCAAAGGCCTGGTCCCATAACCACGTCTTCACCCTCCTCCTAAAGGCGAGGAGGGATGATGATGCCCTGATTTCCCCCGGGAGTGAGTTCCACAGGTGAGGGGCCACCACTGAGAAAGCCCTGCTCCTTGTCCCCACCAGCCTCACTTGTGACAGTGCTGGGGTCGAGAGCAGGGTCTCCCCAGATGATCTCAGACTCCGGGGTGGGACGTAGAGGGAGATACGTTCGGACAGATACACTGGACCGGAACCATACAGGGTTTTGTAGGTCAAAACCAGCACCTTGAACTGAATCGGCAGCCAGTGGAGCTGGCACAGCAGGGGGGTGGTATGCTCCCTGTATGTCGCTCCGGTGAGCAATCTGGCTGCCGCTCACTGGACTAGTTGAAGTTTCCGAACAGTCTTCAAGGGCAACCCCACGTAGAGCGCATTGCAGTAGTCTATTCGAGATGTAACAAGAGCGTGGACCATATGAACTGTTGGACTTCACATATGGATTCTGGATTCCCGATGTCTTCGAATCACAGGTTTCTGACTTCTCCAAGCACCAATAGGACAGAATCCAGGAGAGTAGATGGAAATGAGAATATTTCCAGTTGTTTACCAAGTTGGGTCTTTCTTGGAGGACCACAAAACTGTACAGGAAAGGTTTCCAGTTGCTTGAACTACAACGATAAGCAAATGAGAAGTGAAAATACCCAAGAACTTTAATGTAAAGACTAGCTGTACCCTGCCACGCGTTGCTGTGGCCCAGTTGAAGCAATAGACAGAAGGGAGAGATGGAAGGGACATTGATAGATGGAACAGGAGGTAGATGGATAGAACATAGATAGGTTGGTAGGTAGTAGG